ATTTATGCCTTGAAAATTGGCAAATGCTACAAGTAAAGGCTTGATTTATTGTTTTGTTGATTGTCTAAAGCAGGGCTTCTTAAACTTTTTCCACTCCTGACCCCTTCTCACTTTTCAGCTGGTTGGTTGGCCTTTCGTGGCCTGAGGACAATGGAAGTGCAAAGTGTGCATGCTTTGTGTTCAGAACCAAAGTTGCAGTGAAGTTGCTTGATGAAACACTTCGAGAAACACCTCAGGTTCATTACGCATTGGTTTTTAATTAATTTTTGGTCATTGAGTTTTCAAAAACCTTTGACTGTTTCCAAATTTTTCTTGACCCCATGTAAGGTCCTGACCCACAGTTTAAGAAACACTGGTCTGGACTTAAGAAAGTGATGGAGAAAATGTGGATCATTCAGATTAAACTTAAAAGTGTGTCATGAGTAAATTTTTTTTCCCCTAGAGACCCAGTTGTTAGAAATTTGCCGGCACTATCCTGGTTACGGGGCAGGCCGCAGCTTGAGACATCAGAACCTGACATTTGGAAGGAACCTCTGGCACCATCCTTATCAGGAGATCATCCAAACAGCATCTGCTTGAAGGTTTCCAGTGATGAGGAACTCACTAACCACTGAGGCAGGCCATTCTGCTTTTAGGCAACCTTAATTCAAGTCAACAAGCAGCTGTAATTGTTAGAAAGTTCATCCTATCCTCAAGCTGAAATCTGCCTCTCAACAACTTCCACAGATGCTCCAAGTTCTGCCCTCTGGGGCCATTCAGAACATGTCTAATCCCTTATCCACATCACCCAGTTGGCTAAATGGGATACTGGGTGGAGCCAGACTGTTTAAATTAGGGTTTGCTCTTGGGGACAAGTTCCCCAGGATTACCCCATCTGGGGAATATCTGACCAGCAATAAGGGAGTTGTTTGCCTTCTTTTCTTCCTGACAAGACAGTAGCCCAGTAGCTGGAGGGGATGGAGTCTCTTTCCCAATTATGATTCAGTTCCTGTCTTGTGTGGGCATGTCACTTCATACCTCACCCCTGGGCTGTCATTGTCTTTATTAGCTCAGTTCCTAGGAAGCAGAGATCCCCTTTGAAAATATTGCATAATCTCTCTCTCCTCTTCCTTATTCCACCTTATTCCTGAGCCTCCAGCTCTCACAAGATATAGGTTCCTGATTCTCACCTCTCTTAGATTTAATAGACACAGTAGCTCTGCTTCATCGCTGAACCAAAGAAACTAGAGACAAGAAGATCCTTAATTTTTAAAGCAAGTCCTTGAGCAGTAAAGGCCCCCCGGGGAACTTTTTTCAGCAGCTTGTTCCTGGGGTAGGATCATGAAGGATAGGGAGGGCATGACTAAAGTGCATGTACTTGGTGAAACCGTGGATAGGGAAAGTAGGCAGCTTCTTAGAACACAGAGCACCAGGCATATAATAGGATCAAGGATATAGTTCTAGAAGTGATCTTAGAGATGTAATTCAGCCTCTTATCTTACAGATGAGAAAACTGAGGCTCTAAGAGGTCATATGGTCACATGGGTAGTAAATGGCACTGTCAAGATTCAAAACCAGATCATTTGATCTGGTGGTTTGTCTGTTTTGGAAGAGGACCAGTGACATCATCTGTGATGTCTTGACTAGTGTGTGAATTGGATTTAAGTGAGGCAGAGTTGTACAAAGTTGTCAGCCTCCTTCTCTCTTCCACAGTCACTGAAGTCCAGTGGTAAGATAAAAATCAGGGCCACTGGTGATACCAGGATGCAGTGGATAGCCTTGGTGTCTTAGATGAATGACCAAGCTCTAAGTGTTCCACAACACCTTTTCAGCCACCTTTATGGCCATTGGAACAAATTGTTCTCATCGGACCATTCTGCTGGGGTAGGTCTTTATATGCTTGGGGTAGACATCCCTCTAACTCGCCAACAGGTTTGAGATCTATTGGTTACCCTCAACCTAGTTTAGATCATCTACCAAGATGGCTTACCAGGGCATGGCTGCTAGGCATGCTACAACTTCCTGGAGCCCCAGGTGAGAGTTGCATGAAGGTGGACACCAAAGATGGAAGAGCATCCTTGTAAAGAGCTCCGCAGGCCCTCACACCAGAGATGCTAGTCCATATTCTTTCCAATGTGCCATGTTGCTAAGGCAAAGCAAGGCATGTCAAGGGGATATTTTCTTTTCTTTTCTTAAATTAATTTATTTTGAATAATCAGCAATCACTTCCATAAGCTTTTGAGTTTTAAATTTTTCTCTCCCTCCCTCCCCCTCTCCCTCCCCAAGAGAATGTGCAGTCTGACATAAGCTATACATATATATTCCTATTAAACATATTTTCACATTAGCGATGTTGTAAGGAAGAATTAGAACCAATGGGAGGAACCATCAGAAAGAAGAAACAAAACATAACAGAAGAGAAAAAAAATAGCCAATAGTATTCTTCAATATGCATTCAAACTCCATAGTTCTTTTTTCTTTGTGGATGGCATTTTCCATCATGAGGCCTTTGGAGATGTCTTAGATCCTTGTATTATTGAGAAAGGTTAAATCTATCAATATTAGTCATTACACAACATGGCTGTTACTGTGTACAACGTTCTCCCCGTTCTGCTCACTTCACTCAGCATCAGATCATACAAGTCTTTCCAGGTTTTTCTGAAGTCAGCCTGTTCATTTCTTATAGCACAAAATAGTATTCCAATACATGCATATACCACAACTTATTCAGCCATTCCCCAATTGATGGGCATCCTCTCAACTTCCAATTCTTTGCCACCACAAAAAGAGCCACTATAAATATTTTTGTACATGTGGGTCCTTTTCCCATTTGTATGATCTCTCAGGGATATAGCCCTGGAAGTTCTATTGCTGAGTCAAAGGGTATACACATTTTTATAGCTCTTTGGGCATAGTTCCAAATTGCTCTCCAAAATGGTTTTGGATCATTTCACAACTCCACCAACAATGCATTAGTGTTCCACTTTTCCCACATCTTCTCCAACATTTATCATTTTCTCTTGTTTTGTCATTGGCCAATCTGATAGAGTGTGTGTGGTACCTCAGAGTTGTTTTGATTTGCATTTCTCCAATGAATAGTGATTTAGAGCATTTTTTCATATGACTATAGATGGCTTTAATTTCTTCATCTGAGAACTGCTTGTTCATATCCTTTGACCATTTATCAATTGGGGAATGACTTGTATTCTTAAAATTTGACTTAATTCTCTATGTATTTTAGAAATGAGGCCCTTATCAGAGAGACTGGTTGTAAAAATTCTTTCCCATTTTCTACTTTCCTTCTAATCTTAGTTGCATTGGCTTTGTTTGTGCAAAAACTTTTCAATTTAATGTAATCAAATTATCCATTTTGCTTTTGTAATGTTCTCTGTCTCCTGTTTGGTCATGAATTCTTCTGTTCTCCATAGATCTGATAGGTAAACTATTCCTTCCCTTTGCTTACAGTATCAGCCTTTATATCTAATCATGAACCCATTTTGACTTTATTTTGGTATATGGCGTGAGATCTTGTCTATGCCTAGTTTCTGCCATACTCTTTTCCAGTTTTCCCAGCAGTTTTTGTCAAAGAGTGAGTTCTTATCCCAGAAGCTGGGGTCTTTGGGTTTATCAAATAATAGATTACTATAGTCATTGACTACTGTGTCTTGCATACTTAACCTATTCCACTGATCCACCACTTTATTTCTTAGCCAGTACCAAGCAGTTTTGATGATTGCTGCTTTATAATACAATTTAAGATCTGGAATGGCTAGGCCACCTTCCCCTGCATTTCTTTTCATTAGTTCCCTTGATATTCTGGACCTTTTGTTCTTCCAAATGAATCTTGTTATTATTTTTTCTAACTCTATAAAATAATTTTTGGTAGTTTGATTGGTATGGCACTGAATAAGTAAATTAGCTTAGGTAGAATTGTCATTTTTATTATATTAGCTCGGCCTACCCATCAGCAACTAATGATTTTCCAATTATTTAGATCTGACTTGGTGTGAAAAGTGTTTTGTAATTGTGTTCATATAGTTCCTGGGTTTGTTTCGGTAGGTAGACGCCTAAATATTTATAATGTCTACAGTAACTTTAAATGGAATTTCTCTTTCTATCTCTTGCTGTTGGGCTTTGTTGGTACTATATAGAAATGCTGATGATTTATGTGGGTTTATTTTATAGCCTGCAACTTTGCTAAAGTTGTTTATTATTTCAAGTAGTTTTTTACTTGATTCTCTAGGATTCTCTAAGTATATCATCATGTCATCTGCAAAGAGTGATAGCTTTGTTTCTCCTTTGCTTATTCTAATACCTTCAATTTCTTTTTCTTCTCTTATTGATAAAGCTAATGTTTCCAGTACGATATTTAACAACAGTGGTGATAATGGACATCCTTGTTTCACCCCCGATCTTATGGGAAATGCTTCTAGCTTGTCCCAAGGGGATGTTTTCTAACTTTTTTTTGGTGAACAAATCTATTTTTGATACTAGAAAATGCTCCTCTCGATGGTATTCATTTTGTGTGGGCAACTAGATGGCACAGAGGATAGGGTGCCCTGTCTAGAGTTAAGAAGACTCATCTTCCTGAGTTCAAATCTGGCCTCAGACATTAACTAGCTGAGTGATCCTGGGTCACTTAATAATGAGTTACTTAACCCTCTTTGCCTCAGTTTCTCATATGAAAAATGAGCTAGAAAAGAAAATAGCAAACCACTCCAGTTTTTGCCAAAAACAAACAAAAAACCAAATGGACTTATGAAGAGTCAGACATGACCAAAAAGGACTGAAAAACAATTCATTTTTTTTTCTTTTCTTAGGCAGTTGGGGCTAAGTGACTTGCCCAGGGTCACACAGCTGGTAACTGTCAAGTATGTGGTCTGAGACCGGATTTGAACTCAGGTGCTCCTGACTTCAGGGCCGGTGCTCTATCCACTGTGCCACCCAACTGCCCCAAAACAATTCCTTTTGTGATGGAACATACTGACATAATAATGAGAGCACCCAAAAGTGGAATGGGACACACATCTCTGTTTCCAACCCTAGCATGGACCTGAGAGGTATGTTTGGGTGCTGAAGGGTTACTGTTGGGGTTAAGGAAGCCAAGGCAGACAATTTATCAATATGGATTGAAAAAGTAGTTGCCCTAATTATTAGAAATTTTCTCCTTGCTACAGGGGTCGTAGAGAGGATTCTTGTCCAGGTATTGATTGGATTAGATAAATCAAGAGTCCTTATTATCTGCTCTTTGTGGCCTTCAGTGTCTCCATCTGTGAAATGAAAGGGTCTGACTCTGAGGCCCTTTCTTGTTCTGAATCTATGATCTTTGCAGCTATAAGTCTATATAACATATAGTCTGTAATTACAGACTATGAAAGTCTATGATTCCAAGTCGCGGAAGGTTCAAAGGCTCTGTTGGGTAGGAATGGAGCGGGCATAATTTTCAAATCTTGCCAAGGACACATAGATGTCTCATCCTGGCTCTGCTGATGTTATGCTGCTGACAAGAAGGACAGAGGAGATTAGCTTCCTTCCACTCCAGGGATTGGCTGGTTTGAGTGGGAAGGAGGTTGAGGCTGGTTGAGTGTGTGTGTGTGTGTGTGTGTGTGTGTGTGTGTGTGTTGTGTGTGTGTGTGTGCTGTGCTTTTGTCTTTTGAGTGTGGAATGAGATAAGGAATTGGCTGAGTCAGGATTTCAGCTGGGTTGGGTTAGTAGCTTCAGTCATCTGATTGATGAATTCATTTACTCTCGTGGAGGGGCAGCTAGGTGGCACAGTGGATAGAGTACTGGGCCTAGAGTCAGGAAGACTTATCTTCCTGAGTGGCCTCAGACACTTAGTAGCTGTGTGACCCTGGGCAAGTCACTTAACCCTGTTTGCCTCAATTTGTCATCTGTAAAATGAGCTGGAGAAGGAAATGGAAAACCTCTTCAGTATCTCTGCCAAGAAAACCCCAAATAGGGTCACAAAGAGTCAGAAATGATTGAAAAATGATTGAACAACAATCTCATGGAGGGACAGGGTGGTGCCCCTTGCCATCCATGACTATGCCTGGAACAGAAATTAATTTTCCTGTTCCGTGCTCTGGATTCTGTGAATCAGAAGGGGCCAGGGATTATTAGCCTCATTTTTATAGACAGTGAAACAAAGGCTTATAAAGGCAAAAATAATTTGTCCAGCATCACCCAAGGAATGGTAGCAAAGACGAGAAGATAACACTATTTCGTGGCTTGCTCTGGCGCTTTGGGTGAGACTGCCTGGGCATGATTGAGGCCAGGTGGGGGATGGAGCTTAGAAGTGAGGCTGGGGGCATACCAAGTTTGTTTCTACTTGGTACCTAGGGCACCAAATACCAGAGGATAGAAGGCACACAGCTTTGGAGCTAGAGAGGTCCTTGGAGATCAACTGGTCCAACGCTTCTATTTTAAGAGATAAGGAAAGGAAGGACCTTCGAGGTCAAGTGGATCACCCAACGTTGTATGGGTAGTAATTAGCAAAGTTGTGACTTCTACCCCATTGCTTTGTCTTCTCTGGACCAGACAGAACCAAGGTTGTGAGCTATAAACATAGAGCCTTGAAGATGGAAGACTCCTTAGCAGTTATCTAGTTTGAATGCTATCCAAAGCATCAATCCTTTGCATTTCCATGCACCATTCATGGTAGGGCCTCTCATCAATCTCCTTTTCCGTACCCTCTGCACTCCAAACTGGACCCCTTGTCGTCCCTGTATAGGTTTTGTGCTTTCCCACCTCCTTGCCCATGCCCTTCCTTTCTTTTCTTCCCCAATTCTTACTCAGAAACCTCACCTGATCCACTGGGAAATTATGTTCTTTCTCCCTCTCCCTTCTCCATCCTCTCCCTCCCTCTAATTTTATATTAGAGCTATTTATACATGTACCATTATCTTAGACTGTAAGCTCCCTGAGATCAGAGACCATGTCTTATCTAAAATTTATATTTCCCCAAGTATCCAGCCTAGTATTCTGCACACAGCAGGTCCTTAACAACACATATATTGTTGAGGTTTTCTCTAGGATCTTTAGGAGGTAAGGTGGGCTTCTGGGTCTCTCATAAGGTCCCTTGATTACAGATAAGGTTTTTTTTTTAGCATTTTCTTTCTTTTAAAAAATTTATTTTTAATTTATGGAATAAAACAAGCATTTCTATAACATAGTACAATAAAAAAAGGTGATTGCACATGAAACTGCAAATTCACTATGTATACCTTGCTATTCCTTTTAAATACAACAACAAAATTATCATATAAATTTCCTTTCTCCCCCCCATAACTTTGTATGTGTGTGTGTGTGTGTGTGTGTGTGTGTACATGCGCCAATTGAGGGTAAGTGGCTTACCCAATGTCACGTAGCCAGTGGGTGTTATGTGTCTGAGGCTGGATTTGAACTCAGGTCCTCCTGACCACAGGTTTGGTGCTCTTTCCACTGTACCACCCAGCTGCCCCTTGAAAGGTTTTTGTTGTTGTTGTTGCTGAGTCGTGTCCGACTCTCCATGACCCCATTTGGAGTTTTCTTACCAAAAATGCTGGAGTGGTTTGTCCTTTCCTTCACCAGCTCATTTTACAGATGAGGAAACTGAGACAAAGAGGGTTAAGTGACTTGCCCAGGGTCACACAGCTAGGAAGTGTCTGAGGTCACATTTGAACTCAGGTCCTCTTGGCTACAGGCCTAGCACTCTATCTACTATGCCACCTAGCTGCCCCTTCCCCATAACTTTTAAAGGAGCCTTCAGCATTCAATGGGGAGGACGTTCCCCCAGCACAGTTTGCCTCACTCTGTTGCCTCATTCTGCAAGCAACAACCACAATAATAAGTAACATTTATATACGGCTTTAAAGTTTGAAAGTGCTTTACATATATTACCTTATCTGATCCTTGCAATGACCCCGAAAAGCAGGGGCTGTTATTAGCCGCATTTTAGAGATGCGGTAACTGAGGCCAAGAGGATTAGTGATTTGCCCAGAGTCCCATAACTAGTAAGAACCTGAGGCAGGACTCATACTCAGGTCTTCCTGACTCTATATAACAATAATAATTATGGTGCTTTAAGTATGTACAATGCTATGATGAAAACTGATATCTACCTCCAAAGGAAGAACCGATGGAGTCTGAATGCAAATTGAAGCATACTTATTTTTGCTTTCTTTTTCCTTTTGTTTTTCTTTTTGGTCTGTTTTTTGGTCTATTTTTCTTTCACAACATGATTAATATGGAAATATGTTTTGCATGACTGCATATAGATAACTTATGTCAAATTGCTTGCCTTCTTAATGGCAGGGATAGGAAAGAGGGAAAAAGAGAATTTGGAGCTCAAAATTCTAAAAAAAGAATGTTAAAAATTGTTTTTACATGTAATTGGAAAAAATACTAAATCTTTTGCAAAAAAGAAGGATTGCATTTGGTTCTCACAACAACCTTGTGAGGTAGGTTATTATTTATATAATTATAAATATATAATATTACTATAAATATATAATATTGTTACAAATATTCTTATTATTATGTTATTATTCCCATTTTACAGTTGAGGAAACTGAATCTCCAGCTGGTAAGTGTCTGAAGCCAGATTGCAACTTGGATCTTCCTGATTCCAGGTCCAATACCCTATCTACTCCTTATTTAAGTTCAATGCTACGCCCACTATGCCACCTGGCTTCCCATATTAAGAAGAAAAGGTATAGACATCAGAATAAATACCTCAAGCCCTGACATCGTGAGAGTGCTTCTGTAAATCGCTCAAGGTTTATGATGGGAAACATGAATCAGCTTCTTCCTAGAAACACATTAGTCTTTTTGAAAAATGTGTGTGCTAAAGGCCAGGGAGCCATGCTGCATGAGTGTGCTAATTTTCCATGGCTGTATGAGAGACTGCACGGGAAGCACACAATGTGTTATGAAGGGAAGAACACTGAAATCGGGGTTAGGGGATTTGCATCCAAAATCCGGATCTGTCACTTACTGAAACCATGATCACATGTCACTGAAACTCTCTGAGTTCAGATTTCCTCACCTGACACAAGGAAGGGACTGGACCTGTGATTTCATTGATTTAAGGAAATTCAGGTCAGCAGCTTCTTGGCAACTTACTGTAGTCTTGGAGTGATAAACCTTGACAGAGGTTTAAGTGACTTGCTGAGAGTTTCGCAAGTAATATATGTCAGAAGCGGGACTTGAACCCAGGTCTTCCTGGATCCAAGGTCAGTTGTCTCTCTAGCCACCAGGCCAGCCAGTCTCATCTGGAAAATAGGGAAAATAATACCTGACACGGATACGCTGCATCTAGCTCAAAGTGGGAGAGCTATTGGTTCAATTTTAAACGTGAGCTTTTCCACCTTGGAAATACGCAAATGCTACAAACCAGGGCTATGTTTATTATTCTTTTGATTGTCCAGATTCAACAGAGTATCGGAGAAAATTTTGATAATTCAGATTAAACTTAAAAGTGGTTGATATGCATATCCCTGCCCCCTCCCAGGAGGGCCAGCTGCTCAACATTTATCAGCACATCCATGCCTGTATAGAATTATGGTTAAGTATAATTGAGATGGTGGGATTGTAGATTCCAAACCATTGGAATGGACCTTAGGGGTTATCTAGCCTAACATTCATTTTAACAGGTGAGTAAACTTTGTCTTAGAGGTGAAGTAACCTATCAAAGGTTATCTGAGTACTGAGTGGCTGCAGCAAAGGGATTAGAACTTGTTTTCACTGACTCCAGAACTGGAACCCTTTCAATTGAGCCTAAATCAGGGAGTCTCCTAGATAAGGTATAAGACGTGTCCTTTAAGGGCAAAGCAGTATATAAACCTGAGTTGCTATCATTATTATTATCTGCATAGGCAAGGCATGCTCGTTTGCGTCCAAGGATGTATTAGGTGGTCCATGGGTTTGCTGATGGATGGGAGCTGGTTTCACTGTTGTTTATGCTTCCATTTTTGGACTCAGCTCACGTGCAAAGTCCTTTTCCCTTCGCTGGAAGCTGGGTATAATAAACCTAAGGCTTCAGCCTGAGAAAGTTGGGTGATTTTGTCTGGTTTCTTAGGGGGAGGGATGTTTGATACAGAACAGATTCCTCTCTACTGTTTTTTTCCTTTAAGGCAGGTGCTGTGAGAGCAGCTCTTACCTATTTCCCAATTGAGGTCACATTCTCCCCCCTATTTCAAAAGATCAGAAATTTACAGCTGGAAAGGGTCAATGAGATCAGGTAGTCCAGGGGTTCTTAATCTTTGTGTCATGAATCACTTCTCAGAATAATATCTTTGAGTATATAAAATTTTAAAAAATGAATTACAAAAAAGACCGATTATATGGATTAAAAAAAAAAAGACCGGGTCTTCCTATTTTGCTCAGGCTGGAAGTACAGAACTGCGTGCATGTCCAACTACAATCTGAAGGGAAGCTTTCACTATCTTCATTTCTAACGTGGGTCAGTTCATTACTGTTTTAGGCTAACTGGTGCCCCTCTCCCCTCTTAGTATGGAGACCCATAATCCACTGTAGTTTAGAACTCCTGAGCTCAAGAGATCCTCTACCTTCAGTCCGGGATTAATATCTGGCAGTTATCAAAATATTAAAAAACAAAACCAAGTTCATGGACTTCCAGGTTCAGAAGCCCTGATCTAGTCCAACAGATGGACTTGTTTTACAGATGAAGAAACTGAGGCCCAGAGAGGTGATTTGTCCAAGGACCCACAGCTAGTAGTAAGTAGGATAGTGGGGATTCCAACCAAGGCCCTCTGCTTTCAAATCCATGATGTGAGTAACTGAAAATTAAGCCATTTAGCCTCAATATAAAAAGCTCATTCATGGTCTTTCCTCTGTTCGTTTCCCCAGCAGAACGTGCTCTGTGCTGAAGGATGAAGAAATGGTGGGGCTTTGGCTGCACTGATGAGGTAGAGGGAAAAAGCTGGCTATGAAATGCAGAGGGGTCCCAGAATCATTGGGAAGCCCAGGTTTCCCTGGAAGAAAGGAGTGTGGCTACTGGAGTGGGGGGAAGGGAAGAGGAGGGATGGGAGGGGAGAAAATCAGATGAGAAGCTCTGCATGGACCTGCAGCACACAGACAGACACATACAGACTCTCATAGTGAGGCAGGGGGAAAACAACAAAAGCCACTTTCATTTCTCATCATCCTCCAGGGCTTCAGGAGGACAGGCCTGCCCCTCTTCCTCCCCAATGCTGAGTCAGCAGCGTCTGACAAATTAGTCTGAGGGAGAGGCTGGGGTTCTGGCTTCTGGAAATTAGCATGCAGAGAGCTTGGTCTGTGCTTCGGTGAATGAATGCTTGGACTCTTTCTCTCTCTCTCTCTCTCTCTCTCTCTCTCTCTTCTGCTTATTTGCCCCCCTTTCTAGCTGCCTGGGGGTTGGGGGTGCAAGGATTGGAAGGGAAGGAAATGACTTACTTTTGACTTTGCAAACACTTTGGATTTACATTCCCAAGGTCATGCAGTCACTACTAGCTTCTGGTTGGAGTAGGGATGGCAAGCCAGGAGTAGGATTGTGACTGAGGCACTTTGCATGGAGCCCAGGAGGACAAGGGAGAGTGGGCAAGGGGGTGGAAGGAGGGGGAGCAAAGTCACTGCCAGCCATGAGAGGAGGTGATGGCCTGGGCAGAGCTCTTGGGAAAGGGAGCAGAATTGGAAGAATGGTCACCAGGGAAGGATGGCAGGGCCATAATCAGGGAGAAAACAGTTTAAGTCTCTGAACCCTTCTTTGGGGTGTGTGAGGGAGGAGAACACCGATTTCAGGGCTGTTTATTCCTATCAGAGCAATGCCTGGGATACTAAAGGACAGTCCTAAGGAAGCAGGAGGCCAGGCAAATCACTCACTGTCCTTTGCTTATTCAGAGCAGCCTTTTCTTTGAGTTCATGTTATTTATTTTTCAATTAACAAGCATTTATTTTCTCTCTCCCCACCAATTACACACACACACACACACACACACACACACACACACACTCTCACACACACACACACACTCACACACAAACACAGCCAAAACCCTTCCAACAAATATACATAATCAAACAAAGCAAATTCCCACATTGTCCGCGTTTCCAGCAGTCTTAAAGGGGAAGAGACATCCCCAAAGAGCAGCTTGCAGTGGAGGTAGGGAGAGGCCATTCCCAACCAGCCCAGGGTTTTCTTCTGTTGACCAGGGTTAGGCTTGACTGGCTGACCAGATCTGTCTTTTATAAATATCAGGTCTTCTTTAGCAGCAGATAGGGAAACCCATTTCAGTCCTATCTGCCAGCTTGAAGGCTGACTTTCTAGCCAGAAAGGGGGAAAAGTCTTTGTGCTCTCTTTGGACCTGGAATGAGCTCCCTCTTTCTTTTGTCACCTAGCATATGCCACCCCAATCTTGGTCGGAGGGAATCAAGGTGGACTCATTTTCTCCGGATAGACTATGAGGAGTGGGGATGGATCTAGCATCAATACTAGAAGTGTCCCTAGAGGCCATAGGTCCAACCCTAGCACTTTGCAGAGGAGACAATGAGGTGTCTGAGGTGAGATTTGAAACCCGGTCTCTTCCTGACTGCAAGTCCAGTGCCCCAATTACTATAACAGGCTTCCTTAGAGCCTTAAGAGTCTAGGTCAATGTTCCTTGGGATTCCTGATCGACTTTGGGCTTGTCAAGAGATATCGTGGTACCATGGGAATACCGTCATCCAAGGACTTGGTTTGATTCCTGCTTGTTATATATATCACCTTGGGCAAGTCCCTTAAATGCTCTCAGCCTTAGTTTCCTCATTTGTAAAATAAGGTAGAGGACTAACCTTTGAGGTCCTTCTAGCTCTAAATCTGTGTCTCAGTGGAAAGGGTTTCCTGGCCCAGAGGTACTTACTGTTTGGGAGTTTTATGAGGAGGCCCTTTCAATTAAGTGGGATTTGAATCGTGATTTTCCTGTTAAAATTTGCCAAAGCAGAGACAGTTAGGAGATTGCTAGGTACAAGGGAGGGCATCTGGCCAACAGAACCTTTATCCTTTGGGCACATCAGAGGGAGTGGTTTCCAAGCAACCATTTTTTGGAGAAGGAAGATTCTGCTGAGTCACATGGCCCAGGGCATCTGTCTCTGCAAAGGTGTTCCCTCTGTGACTGCAGCTTTCTCGGTATTAACCTCACCTGGGTAAACAAGGCAACTCAGGACAGACTTGGCAGCGGGAGGTAAGAGATCATCACCAGGACAGCATTGTAGAGAACTCTCAGCCCTGTTCCATTTCCTTCTCCTGGAACAAGGATAGGCTTGCTGTTGGGTTAGATCTTGTCTACCCCTCCCAACATCACTCAAACCTCCTCATGCTTCAAGCAGGACAAGTCTCCCTACCCCTAAACTCAGGATGTTTGCACAGTGAAAAATGACCCCTTCCTTATCCTTCCCCCTCCCCACCCCCCTTTGACTTTGTGCTTCTTCCCAGAATCCTTCATTAGGCTGGACCATCTCCTGATAGTGGGAGATCTGACACGGGCCTCCCTGGAAGCTTGAGGAACAGTCAGGAAATGTCTGAGCACTGCAGACAAATGCTCCAGAGAGGAAGTGACTGCTCCTCAGTCTTTTGTCCCTCAAAGAGACTTTTTCCTTCCCGGAGCTTCCAAAGCCTTGCATACATATAATCTCAACCTGGTTGGGTGGGTGGAGTTGCTGTTAGGGGAAGGGCAGGGCAGGTCAGTTGGGGGGTGTTATCCTGGTGTGATGACTTAGGGAAACTAGAGAGGCAAAGATTCTTATTCTGGACTCAGCCTTCTCTTTGGTCTTCTGTGTTACCACACTAGGGAAGCAGAGGCCTACCCTGAGGCGGAAGGAGGGAAGTATGCAGAAGGGCAGGAAAAAGAGTTAGTGGGAATTTTGGAAAAGAAAATGAGAGAGCAAAGGCTTAAGGACACCTATAGATTGGCCATAGGAGATGTCCATACTACAGAACCTCTTGCTCAGAATTTTGAAGTTGGAAGAGAAAGAAGAGGCTGTGTTACCCAACCAATTTAGCCTTTCTTCTCTCTTTATACTCTATCATTTAAAAATCTCATTTAATCCCATAATTCCAACTACTACCTCAATATAGATGACTTCCAAATCTGTATTTCCATCTTTGACCTCTATTCTGAACTTCAGACCGACATTTCCAGTTTTCTACAGGATGGCTCCACTTGGATATCCTATCGGTACTCAAACAGGTCCAAAATAGAGTTTGTCTTCTTTCCCCTAAACTTGCTGTCCTTTCTAGCTTCACTTCTTCTGTCAATGACACATCTGATCTCTTATATTTCAAACCTTGGCATTATCTTGTCAGTCAACAAATATTTTTCTAAATATTTTATTTTCTAAAAAAAGTTTTGATTTCCAAATTCTATCCCTTCCTCCCTTCCCTCTCCCTCCCTGAGATGGGTAAGCAATCCAATATAGGTTATACATGAGCAATCATGTAAAACATATCCATGTTAATCATTTTATACAAGAAGCCTCTAACAACAACAAAAAAAGAGGAATGAATGAAAGTGAAAAACAGTATGCTTCAGTTTGTACTTAGACAATATCAGTTCTTTCTCTGGAGGTGGATAGTCTTTTTTTTTTTATTGTGGTTGCTGTTTTCAATATTCACTTTGATAAGATTTTGAGTTCCAAACTTTCCCCCCTTCCTTCCTCCTCTTGCCAAGACAGCAAGTAATTTTATATAGGCTCTACATGTACAATCATATTAATCATATTTCTACATTAGTCATGTCGTGAAAGAAGAATCAGAACAAAAAGGAAAAACCATGAGAAAGAAAAAACAAGAAAGGCTAAAATAGTATGCTTTGATCTGCATTCAGACTCCATAGTTCTTTCTCTGGATATGGATATCGTTTACCATCATGAGTCTTTTGGAACTGTCTTAGATCATTGTATTGCTGAGAAGAGCCAAATCTATCATAGTTGATCATCTCACAGTGTTGCTGTCACTATGTACAATGTTCTCCTGGTTCTGCTGACTTCACTCGGCATCAGTTCATGTAAGTCTTTCCAGGTTTTTCTGAAGTCATCCTTTGTCTTTTCTTTATGGCACAGTAGTATTCCATTACATTCATGTATCAGTTTGTTGAGTCATTCCCCAATTGGTGGACATCCTCTCAATTTCCAATTCTTTGCCACCACAAAAAGAGCCACTATAAATATTTTTCTATGTGTGAGTCCTTTTCCTTTTTTATGATCTCTTTGGGGTACAGATCTAGTAGTGGTATTGGTGGATCAAAGGGTGTGCACAGTTTGTTTGTCCTTTGGGCATAGTTTCAAATGATTGGATCAGTTCACAACTTTACCAACAGTGCATTAGTATCCCTGTTTTCCCACATCCCCTCCAATATTTATTGTTTTTCCTTTTTTGTCATATTAGCCAATCTGATAGGTGTGGTGGTACCTGGGAGTTGTTTTAATTTGCATTTCTCTAATCAACAGTGATTTAGAGCTCAACAAGCATTCATTAAGCACCTACTTTTGCTAAGTGCTGGTGCTAAGTGCTGGGAATACAGAGACAGGCAAAAAATACTTCTGGCTCTCAAAGAACTCAGTCTAACAGGGAGACAACATGCAAACAACTGTGTAGGTTCAAACAACACATATACGTATATATACATATAGAAAACAAAAATTATATAGATATACTAAAATTATATATGTATATGTGGGTGCATGTATGTGTGTGTATGTATGTACATAATCTTAGAGGAAAGACACTAACTTTATAAGGGGCTTGGGAAAGACTTCTTGTAGCAGGTAGGACTTTAGCTGAGACTTAAAGAAAGCCAGGGAAGCCAGGAGCTGGAGATAAGAAGGGAGAACATTCCATGCCTGAGGGACAGCCAGTAAAAATTATTTGGAGTTGGGGAGATGGCACATCATGTTTGGGAAAGCAAAGGAGAACAGTGTCACTCATCCAAAGTGGGGAAGGGGATGAAAGGCATAAGAAGATTGGAAAGGTGGAGGGGCAGCTTATGAGGGGCTCTGAGTTCTGAACAGAAGATTTTACATTTGATCCTGGAGCTACTGGAGTTTATTGAATAGGCAAAAGGGTAGGGTTGGGAGATGGCAGGGTGTCAGACCTCTGTTTTGTGAAGATCAGTTTGATAGCTAAATGGCAAATGGACTGAATTGGGGAGAGATGAAGTAGGAAGACTAATCAGTGGGCTACTGCAGTAGGCCAGGCATAAGATTATGAGGGCCTGCACCAGGGTGGTAGATGCATCAGAGAAAAGAAAGGGATGTTTATGAGAAATTTTGCAAAGGTAGAAATGACAGAAATTGGCAACAGGTTAAATATGGGGATGGGTACAAGTGAGGAGTCAAGGATGACACCCAGTTTAGAGCTTGAGTTGACTGGAAGGATGATGATAATGCCTTTAACATTTATAGAAAAATTAAAAAGAGGAAAACAGGTCCTATCATTATTATCTCTATTTTGGAGATGAGGAAACAGGCCGAGAAAGGTTGTATTGGACTTGCCCAAAAGTCACAAAGCTAGTGTGTATGTGAGGTCAAGTTCGGCATGGCCTATGACTTCCCTATTGCTCTAGATGGGAGAGGGCCCTCTTATCTAACACCCCCCTCCCTATTCAGTTTGACAAGGACCATACCTCTCTATTTGTATATCTTTGGTCCCTGGCATAGTTTCCTCTACTAGGGTAAGTAGTCCTGGTAACTCCAGAAAGAGGGGAACTTTGAAGCCATTTTCAAACCATGCTGCCTGCACTCTGGTCATCCTTTCCTCCTCTCAGAAGACCTCAGTCTAAGCCCCTGGGGACTCTGAGCTCAGAGAGGTGAGTTTTTACCTTATCTTGCCTGAAACCAGGTCACTCCATCACTTCCCAGACATTTGACAATGGACTCAACCCTGAATCCCTTTCCAACTCAAGTTTCCCTTTAAAATTTGTCTTTCCTATCAGAATGCAGGTTTCTTGAGGATAGAGACTGTCTTTTTTGCTTGTGTCTTTATATTCCCATTGCTTCCCGCAGTTCCTGGCAACCTGTAAGTATTTAATAAATTCTTTCCCATTCATTCTTTTATTCAGATTCCTCGCTGTGGAAGATGCCAAATGGGCACGGACTACCAGCCTTGGACAGTACAGTACAACGGGAGAACACTCCAGCCTTGAGTATCCGGAACCAGATTCTTCTCCCACCCTAAGGTGGGGAAAAGAAGGAGAAATGACTCAGTATTTCTGCCTGTGGGCTTAGTGCTACCTGGCCAGCCTGGCCCCAAACTCCATCAGTATCCTGCACGAACTATAGGACATTGGTCCCTGCAGTTAGGGCTGCAAGGCCGTTCCTTCAAAAGGAGAGGGGAATTTCCATGAACCTCAATGTCATTGCCCAGCTGGGTTAACAAATCATCTTATCTTGCCCCCTTCCCAGCAGGATGCCCTGCCTGTCCAATTTCTCATGCTTTGTTCCATGGAGCTACAGATCCTAATCCTTCTTTCTGATTCACATCCCCCTGTCTTGAGTTTTCTTAGTCCAGTATTGTTAGAGCTCCCCTGTGGTACGATTTCCATCAGTTACCAAGGTCAAGGGAATTTTTGAGTTGTGACAGTAAGGGACTTCTAATTCAGTGGGAAGGTGGTTCTTCCCAGTAGTCAGAGTAAGACTGAAAGTGTGCCAACATGAGACACATCTCAGACGGTATTGTGACAGGGACAATGGTACCTCTTCATTGATGACATTGTTGGCTTTCTGAGGTGCCTTGACTTTCTTTAGTCAGTATGCTGGCATTTGAAATTTCATTAAGGAATCATACCATCCAGCAATAAAGGAAAGAAATAAATTTTTTTTTTTTGCTTTTAGGCAATTGGGGTTAAGTGACTTGCCCAGGGTCACACAGCTGAGTAAGTGTCAAGTGTTTGGTCTGAGGCCGGATTTGAACTCAGATCCTTCTGACTTCAGGGCCGGTGCTCTATCCACTGCGCCACCTCGCCGCCCCCAGAAATAAATCTTTATTAAAGGTCTGCTATGTATCCATCACTGAACTAAGCAGTTTACAAATATTATCTCGTTTAATCCTCATGATAACCCCGGGAAGTCGGTGTTATGTTATTGTTATCCCCATTTTACCATTGAGGAAAATGAGGCTGACAGAAGTTAAGTGACTTGCCCAGGGTCACATGACTAGTAAGCTGCTGAGGGTGGATTTGAACTCAGGACTTTGAGAGAAGGTATATTGAGCTACAAGTATATTAATGTTCTTTCTAGCTCTTAGATTCATTCATCTTGATTCTTAGAATCTCTGAGCTTGTTCATTCATTCATTTAATATTTATTAGGGAAACTGTGACATGAAAGGCATGACAGGGAATAGTAGTGTCAGTTGATTGTATACAGCGTGTGTTCCTGGTGCTTCCCGTTGTTTAGTGGTAATAGCAACCCACCCTGGCTCCTGGGCTGCTTTCTGGAAGCCTACGGAAAGATGGGCAGTCACAATTAATTAATTAGCCAGTGTATCTTTCTCGCACTGGATGGCAATACACCCAAGCCACCAGGCAAGGGGCTTTGTTGGAAGAGTGGCCTTGTGGGTTTCTGCAAAAGCAGTCGCATCCCCACTGCTCACCACAGGGAGCTAAGTCTACAGACTCTAAGGCCCCTCCCACTCATACCCCACCACCCCAAACCCAACCTAACCAACTCGAATGGTTCCTGGTTCAGCAGGCATGGCGGCCACTTTGGTACCAATCCGGGGGCATGAAAACGCTGCTCCGCCTCTGCCTGAGCATCGCCTGTATCTTGCCTCTTCAATTCTTTGGACCAGTCTTTTCCCCAGGTCTTAGCTTTGGTTACCACATAATGTGTCCTAGCTCTGCCTTTGCTACATCCAACTTGGGGCTACACTTGATCAGCAAATGGCTTGCTTCAGCCCGCTGCCTCTTTCCTTTCCTGCTTCTGCAAGAGTGAAAAAGGTTGGATGGAATTGTCAACCTGCAGTCTTTCCCAGGGGGAACTCTCAAAAGATAAAAGCAGGAGGGCCAAGTACTTGCCTGCATACAAAATCTCTCTTGTCTCCCATCTCCTTGAATGGTTTCATCCCTGGCCCAATCTTGTACTTAGGGGGTCTCACTTTCAATATCCTGTGGATTCAGTTCCCCTTGTGAGTGCCCAGGGTTTCTCAGGATCCCACAGAGATGAAAAGTGTTCTAGACCCCAGAGCAAGGGTGTATAATAAAAGGTCCTTTTCCTGCCTTTCTTCTTGCCTCTCGCTCCCCGCCCCCCCATCCCTACACCATATTACTAGCTAGCATTTATATTGTGCCTTGTAAGCATTTTACATAAATTGGCTCATTTGGTCCTCAAAATAACCCTCTGAGGTAGGTGTTATTATTCTTGGCATTTCACACAACAGGAAACTAAGGGGCAGAGAGGTAGGTGATTTGCCATGTAGCTAATAAGAAACTGAGGCAGGCCTCCAAGTTCATCCTGCCACCCAGCTGCCCCAACCAATCCCACCCTGGGCATCAAGTGGGCAATTTAGTTCAATTTGCCTAATCAATTCATGACTTCCACATGACTGGAGGGGACATGAAGACAAAGGGCTGGGAGTAACACTGGAGTGGGGGTGAAGGTAGGTGGAAGAGAGGAGAGTCTCAAATGTGTGGAGGGATTCTGCGACAGGATCATTTAATTTATTTCACAATGTATTAGACCTTAGAAATGTGACCTTGAGGCATCATTCATACAGATTGGACCAGTACCAAGGAGTAAAAGCTTCTGGACACACAGTCCTTCCCAAGGGGGAACCTGCAAAAGGGTAAACGCTCTGGGCAGCCTCAGGGCTCCCTCCTCAGAGTGTCACCACCCTCTCCCCTGCTTCCATTTAATCCCAGTGCTTACAAGTCATTCACCACCTGGCATTTTGCCGATGCTCCTGACAAAGACAGGGATTTTTGCCCATTCATCCTAATTCAGTTTCCTGTGTTTATGGTAATGAAACAAAAATAAAAGGGATCGCTGCCTGTGGAGGAAAAATCTGCTTAGAGCTGAGAATCTTTGCCCTTCTTTGGCAGGTCCTCTCCCTCTTTTGCTTTGGCAGGGGTGGAAGATGAGAAGGGACAGAGAGGTGGCCAAGGCCACAGAGCAGAGAGAAGAGAGGGGAAGGGGGGGGATAAGGAGGAGGAGGAGGGGGAGGGGAAGAGGGAGAGAAAGGGGGAGGGAGAGAAGGAGGAGGAGGGGGAGGAGGGAAAGGAGGAGGGGAAAGAAGGATGCTCTGGCCAAGGAGAAGAAAAGAGCAGAGTAGAAGGTGGGGTGGATGGGGGCAGACCGTGGTGGGGAGGTGGAAGGCTTTTGCTGGCCTGGGTGAATGAGACAGCGGGTTTTAGGGAGGGTGAGGAAAGCAGCCAAGAAAGCCAAGTGAGGATCCCAAGCCCAGTGTGGTGGCCTAAGCCGTTACTATGGAAACACCAGCTGCTGACTGTATTCCCTGTTCCCCCTGCACGGCCCTTTCCGCTGCATTGTTCAGAAACTCTGCAAGGAGGAAAAATCTGGATTGGTCTCCTTGGCGGGGTATTTCTCATGCTTGCATTTCCCAGGCATGCACTGAGGCCTTAAGGACACCCAGGGACATGACCCTGTATTCCTTTGAAAGGTTCTCAGCCAATCCCCCAAAAGAACCCTCAAACCAAAACAAAATAAAAAACTCACCCCCCCAAACCCCCCCCCCCCAAAACACACTTGCCAGGGCAGCTAGGCGGTGCAGTGGATAGAGCACTGGCCTTGTAGTCAGGAGGACCAAGTCCAAATCTGGCCTCAGACACTAGATATGTATCCCTGGGCAAGTCACCTAGCCCTGATTGCCAAAAGAAAGAAAGAAAGAAAGAAAGAAAGAAAGAAAGAAAGAAAGAAAGAAAGAAAGAAAGAAAGAAAGAAAGAAAGAAAGAAAGAAAGAAAGAAAGAAAGAAAGAAAGAAAGAGAAAGAAAAAAGAAAGATCCTCAGTAGCACAGGAATATGGACTGGTAAAGAGGAATGAAAGAAAAGCCAAAGGAACAATGCACATGATGGTTACAGGAACACAAACAAAAGACAGACATCTGTACTCAGGTTAAAGACAATGACCGACATTAGTTTCAGAGAACAAATGATTCATTTCCCTCCTCTTAATAGAGAGATGAGGTACTATGGGTGCCAACTGGTAGTACTCATGTCATGCTCAAAGTCTAGGTCAGTTGGCTTTGATGACCATTTTTCTTTGTTACAGGGAGAGCCTCACTGGCTGTGTGTGTTTGTGTGTAGGTGGTGGTATATCTGCAAATGACTATGATGTAAAATCAAAAGACATCAATAAAATTTAAAACAAAAAAGAAAAGGAAAATATAACCAGCATACTTCAGTACGTGATTGGATTGTGTTTGATAACTCATCCCATATCCATGTCCATAGCTGGACTCGGCAGTGATGTAGACAGTCCAAAGTGGCTTGTATGCTGCCTTCCTTAAGCCTGCAGAGAGGTTTTGTTGTTGTTCAGTTGTGTCCAAGTCTTCATGACCCCATTTGGGGTTTTCTTGGCCAAGATGCCAAGTGGTTTGCCATTTCCTTCTCTAGCTCATTTTACAGATGAGGAAACTGAGGTAAACAGGGTTAAGTGACTTACCCAGGGTCACCCAGCTGAGGCAAGTGATTTGAACTCAGGAAGATGAATCTTTCTGACTCCAGGCCCAGCATTCCATCCACTGTGCCACCTAGCTGCCCTTACAGAAAGGTAGTATGTCACTATACCAGTTATCCAGCAAGGGTATGCAATATCTGATTTGCCCATCAGGTGGCAGTCTATTTGATCCACCAACCAAGTGTTCCCACAGACTTTCTTTGGGGAATGCGTAGGATAACCTCTCAGGAACCTGCAATATTCCTTTTGGCCACCACTAGTTTTCCCCTAAAATGCCCCAGGTTGCTTCACTATCATAGCAAGTATTGAGCTATAAGTGATGGTGCTGAGTAGATTCCATGTTGGCCAGATTTGGAATTCAGCTAGGAGATGATATGGAATATTGATAAAAAATATTTAAAATAGGAAATCCATTATTCAAGGGCACCCACCTCATGTCTAGAACATCTTCTGGTCAACAACCATTTCATTCACAGACAGAGCTACTCACCATTTAGTGACAACAGTTTCAAAAATGATAACAAAACTTTGGTGCTCCTACCTGGAGCCCTCTATCTCCATCTCCTTAAATTCCTCGCATTTGGGGGGTACAATTAGGGAATTCCTGATCTGTAGGTGCCCACAGATCATGGAAGGGGAATAAAATGGGGAGAGCCGGGGTGTCTAATACTGCAGCTCTGGGCCAGAGAAGAAAGGAGAAGTTAAGGGAGGGAGATCAGTATTACTGCCCCTGGCTTTTCAACCACCATGATTAGTGATTGCTGACAACCTTGTGTACTCAGGACCTGCTCTTCTCACATTTAGGTTTTCATGAAGGCCTTTTCCTCTCTACCAGTCCTAGTTAGCGATCGGAGGCCTTTAGCTGCCACCTCCCAACAGCTCCTCCCTTCCCAAAGTCACCTTTTACCTGGACTATTGCAATCAATCACCTTCCTTATATCCTCTCCCCTCTCCAAACTGGTCCCCACACTGTAGGCAGCATGCAGTCAGGGTTAAATGACTCACCCAGGGTCACACAGCTGTCAAATGTCAAGTGCCTGGGGACAGATTTGAACTGAGGACCTCCTGACTCCAGGGCCGGTGCTCTATCTACTGCACCACTTAGCTGCCCTGGCAGCATAATATTCCTAAAGCATAGGTCTGGCTGGCTTCATTGCTCCCCTGCTTGAGTCTCCAGTGACTCACACCTCAGATCTCTGTGCTTTTACCTGGCAGTC